AAACCCTAAAAATAATTGTAAGATCATGTCCAAAAAACTATTTCCACTGGAATTCTTGGCATACTTTCATATGATAGAATGGAAAAAGTTACAATGTTTCCATTCTGCTTTGTTTTGTTTTATTTATCACATAAAGACTGTGCTACATTTTAGAAATACTTTAACAAGACGGGTGTGGTAGCTCACGCCTGTCATCCTGCACTTTGGGAGGCAGAGGTGAGAGGACTGCCTGAGTCAACCAGGTTCAAGACCAGCATGGGCAATATGGGGAGACCTCGTCTCCACATTAAATCAAAAAACTTAGCAAGGTGTGGTGGCACACACCTGTAGTTCCAACTACTTGGAAGGCTGAGGCGAAAGGATCACCCGAGCCCAGTCAGTCAAGGCTGTGGTGGCCATGAGCGTGCCACTGCACTTCAGCCTGGGTGACAGAGTGAGACTCCTACTCAAAAAATAAAAAAAAAGAAGAAGAAGAAATACTGTAACATGTAAGACTTTCATCAAGTCAATTTTGAGCCATAAAAGTTCTTCTAGACACAAGTATTGAGAAAGGGATAGGCCTGGAACCTTTTTACTAACACTAATTACCTGGTACAAATAAACAGGCTCTTCTGTCATACCCACTGTGGTCACACCCTCTGATTAAAGAGAGAAATAGTGGTGGAGGGCTGTTCAGTCAACATTCTGGCTGGGATCCCTACGTATGTAAAATTTAAAGGATATTCAGGGTCTTTCTTTTTTTTTTTGAGTTGGAGTTTCACTCTGTTGCCCAGGCTGTAGTGCAATGGCATGCTCATGGCCACCACAGCCTTGGCCCGCTGGGCTCAGGTAATCTTTCAGCCTCAGCCTTCCAAGTAGCTGGAACTACAGGCATGCAGCACCAAGCCCAGCTAATTTTTTTGCCAAGTTGCCCAGGCTGGTCTCAAACTCGTGGGCTCAGGCAATCTTCTCACCTCAGCTTCCCAAAGTACTGGGATTATACATGTGAGCCACTGTGCCTGACTGCAGGGGCATTTTATATGAACAAGACTTATTTCATGGGCTTAATGTAGAAGTGATCCATGAGTAAGTTGTGAGTCCAATGTAAATAGGGCATTAAAGAACAAAGGAATGAATTAGTCCTTAAATCTGTCCCTATGTCTTCCATCCTCTTAAATTCCATACTCTCTCTCTCTCTCTTTCCACCTTTTTTCCCCCTCCTGACCACTACTCTTAGGTCTTAAACTGTCTCCTAGACCCAGAACCATCACCCTCCAACCCATGGACTTGCATCTGTCCGCTCCCATCTCTGCTCCCCCCTTCTCGACTTCCATACCCACCTTCACACTGCACCCTTTATTAATTTTTGTGGTTTTTTTGAGTTGGAGTCTCAGTCTTGTCGCCCAGGTTGGAGTGCAGTGGCACACTCACGGCCACCTCGACCTGCTGGCTCAGGTCATCCTTCCGCCTCAGCCTTCCAGCCTCTGCACTCTTTGCAGTCCATTGTCAACTCTATCTCCCCAACTCTTCTATGGACCTCAGTTTTACCCTCCTCATTTTTCATTGCCTCTACTTCCTCCTTCTCCTTTGATATATATTTAATCCTAATCCAGAGATCTCAGTTCAATCCCCATGTTCTTTATTGAATTTCCTTCAAAATCTCAGGTATCACGTATAGGGTAGCATCAGTTACCCAAGACTCTCATGGGACTTAGGTCTGTAGAAGAGTGTGTGATTATGAAAATGGCTATGTAAATATATACTTGAGCATGGTTGAGTATGTGAATGTGCATCCTGTGAGTTATGTACATATCTGAGTATATATTTGTTGATGTGTGTGCATGTTTGGAGTATGCATTGTCAACCATATGGCTGTTTTCCCTGATTTGAAAATAAAAAGTGTGTGTAGTGAAAAATTAGCCAGATTCAAAGTGATGTCATGGTCATGGAGGAAAATGAGTAAATTAATGCAAAAATATGAGAGTGTATTGAATGACTTTACAGGATGAATTTGCTGTTTCTTTAAATCAATGTGTATCCCACATGGGCTCCTCCACACAATCAGATGATACTATTGCTGTGTCCATCCCGTAAATGCTTACTAAATGAGAATTCTCAAACAAGTATGCTCATTTTACTGTAAGAGAGCTTTGGGAAGAGACTAGGAATTGGCCTTCATTATGACAAATTAACCTTTCCCAAAGTGAGTTCTGGCCTTTTCCCTTATGTACTGGGAGGTTATCAGCAGACTCTTGGAATGTCATGCCTCCAAGGAGTAACTTTGCCTGAGAATTTGGCCACCAGATGGTCTAACAATGTGACTTAAGATGGGGCGGGCCCTTAGGCCACACAGTAAAGGGTCAGCATCTGGAGGAGCCAGAGACTAAAGGGTACCCACACAGGATGTATGTGATGGAGCTTTATCAAAAATTTCAAACCCATGCTTGGGTGAGATTCCCTGGTTGACAATATGCCTAGGGAATATCTTATGTTGATACTGTAAAGTAACACATCTCAAGACCAAGGAGAGAGGACAACTGGAAGCTCAGAACCTGGTAATTTTCTTAGACTCTGTCTTATATACTTCTTCTCTAAGCTAATTTTAAGTTGTATCACTTCCCTGTAATAAAGTATAACAGTGAGTAAAACAGTTCTCAGTGAATTTTGTATATCTTTCTAGAAAACTATCAAAAGTGAAAGTGGATTTGGGGACCTCCAATTTGCATATAGTGTAAGAAGTAATGGAGTGATCTAGTGTAAACTGTGTCCTTTTAACTTCTCAGGTGACCCAAGAACCCTCACAGGTGAAATGGGTAGTAGACATGAATCAGATTGTGGATTTGTCTGCTGCAAAATCCAAAGGGTTACTTTGACCCTTGGAGTCTATAATACTCAGTGATCTATCACAGAAACAAAAATTTAGCATCACATGTTCTCACTCATAAGTGGACCTTGAACAATTATCATAATTGAATTGGTAGTAGTGGGACACTGCCAGGGGAGGGGGGTACATCTCATCACCAAGGGTACCTGCATAATGAACGTTTGTATACCTAACCCTGAATTGTACCCCACATCTTTAAAATAAAATATATATATATATTTCTTCATTAAGTACATTATTGATGATCACTTATTATTTTTCTTAGCAAAAATAAACATAGGCCTGGCTCGGTGGCTCAGCCTGTAATCCCAGCACTTTGGGAGGCCGAGGCCGTGAATTGTTCGAAATCCACCTAGGTAATCTGGTGAGACCTTGTCTCTAGAATAAATTAAAAAAATTAGCTGGGCATGGTAGTGTGTACCTGTAGTTCTGGCTACTTGGAAGGCTGAGGCCAAAGGATCACTGGAAACCAGCAGGTCGAGGCTGCCGAGGCCGGGAGCATGCCACTGCACTCCCGTCTGGGAGACAGAGTGAGACTTTAACAAAAAGAAAATAATAATAAAATAACAACAACAACAACAACAATAACAATTCTGGTCTCCATTCAGTGCTGGAGAATTGAGAAGGTAGTATTGACTTACATAACAGTTCAAGGAATTATAAAATCTGCCAGTTAAACCATCTGCTGCTGGTGCCTCTTTGTGAGAAAATGTTATAAACATCTCTTTTCTTCTAGGAATAGATTTCTAGACTTTCTATCACTGCTGGAGTCAATATTTGTAAGGTACATATTTCTTAGAATATTTCCATATTATGATTTACAAATTAACATGCATTTAATTGTACAAATGAGCCCAATGACATCTAACATCCCATTCTTCCTTTGACCTCATTAAATATCCTTCTTGGGAACTTTGATTTTGTTGATCTAAAGAATACTTTAAAATGGTGTAGCTTAGAGATCTGAACACCAAGAATTAACTTAATTTGGGGTAGAAAAACTCAGGGAAGTCTGGAATCCATTAAGACACATAAAACTTTCTGCGAGTCTCTCATGGATCAGACCTCAGCATTTCCTGCTCCTTCCATATGAGACAGGCACTGTACTTCTATAGAGATCATGAAAAAGTAAGAACCTCTCCCAGAAACTTCAGTGGTCTTTTTGAAGATATTCACAAGAAACTTGTAATTGACTTTAGTAATTAACAACAGGGAAAATGTTTTAAAAAATGTTCTTAGCTCCTCAAACCTGCACTGTCATTGCCACTACAGGTGAAGTGATAATTGCATTTCTGAGGGGAGGTGAGGTCACAGAATCACTAATCTTTATCTCTGGATCCAGCTGTCTTCCTCCTTCATGTACTGCCTGTCACAATCTTCACATGGAGTCCACATCCCTTGGCAAAGGGAAGAAGTCCAGTATTTTCCATTTCACTCTGAGATGCAGAGTGTGTCAGAAAAGTAAGCCTGAGTAATTGCTCATACCTGGAAAGAGATTCTTCTAAGGTAGAAACAGATCCAGAGGCAAAGCTAGACAATAAGGATAAATAATTCCTTAGCTATAAGCTTAGTTAGTAAAAAGAGAAGGGTCCTAGACACGATGCCAATCCCTGATGGCTCCTAATGTAATTTTTTAAAACCCTCACTATGGATGATTGTTAGTATATGATTCAGGCAATAATAAAATCTGATTCCTCATTTTGAAAGTGTTTAAGGATTGTAGTAATAAGATAAATCTGTGGGTCACATTACCTTACATGAATCATAGACTAAATTTTAAGCTCTGTTATTATGGGTATGTTTATAATGCATTCACATGTACGATAAAGGTTAGGATGGAACTATAAGAATTACCCAATTCTGTACAGAAACCATGATCTGAATTTATTTCTGAAATAAAAATATTGTATGTAAGCCTGAATTTATTATCCACTTAATGGAGATAGTAATTGTGTCTGTACTGAAACATCTGTGGTTTGATGATTATGTGAGATTGCCTTTCCTCTTGAAGTTAGGGATACAACCTTTAAATGAAAGGTAATATTATAACTATGGATATTAAACAATGGTTGCCAGGACCAAAAGTATGTTGTGTTATTTTTCTGGTTTAAATAATAACCTAACATTATAAACAAGGTCATGACACTTTTTTATTATTCAAATATACACATTGCAAATATTTTATTTTCTCCAGATTCCACTTATATAAATCTCTTGTAATTTAATATCCTTCACAAATTTCATGTTATTATTAATACTGTACTTAACCTAGGTATTAGTAATAGATAAGTGTTTAGCCTGAAATTGGCACTAACTTAATTTCTATCCTATATTATTTTGTCTTATATTAGTGTTTCATGTTTTATAGTTTAGGGACAAAGTAACATTGCTCAATAATTTCTTTTATAGATACTATCATATTTTTGCTCCTGACATGACAGCAAATAAATCTTTCTGTTGCCAAATTAATATTGAGGCAATCTCACATTCATTAAATTCAACTTGGATGCGGGGCAGTTTCTTGTAGGGTTAGACTGTATTAGTGCATTACATTTTATTAGGTTCCCTGAAGAAATCATATCTGATGTTGGCCTATATAAGGAAACTTTACACCAAAATGGAAACTTGTCACAACCAAAATTATGCTATAAAATATCAGTAACATAAGATATCAAGTTTTAAACCAAACTAATTATAGGTCTATGTTATTTGAAAACATAGTTGATACAGTTTATTAGTGTAGCTCGGTGCTTATGGCACTGTCTTTGTATCCTGCCAATCCAGGTTCAGATCTCCACTCTATCCCCTCTATCCAGCATGTGAATTTACACAGATCACTTAACCTCTCTGTTTCTGGGATCTCCATGTCTTGACAATGAAAATGATGCCATGTTCATATCATATAGTTTTGAAAATCAAAGCTGGTAACATAAATACAGCATTATAGCAGTGATTTACAAATTATAAGTGATATTTAAAGTTTGTACATTCAACTCTAGGAAGCCTCTTAAAATGAAACCTTAAGTAAATATTTCTCAGACCTTCTGAGAATACTGAATTTCGTTGATGATAAATGTAGTCCACACTGTATGTTCCCATGCAGGATCCTCTGGCTCTGAAAACAGACATCATTTCCTGGAAACTGGCATAATGACAGGGATTTGGCAATAGGAAATGGTCCACATATTTCAGGTGATAATTAGAATCCTGGGCATTTTCTCTCTGATTTACCATGATCTCTTCCATTCCTGCACTGAATATTGGTTGAAATTCATATATTTAATTCTCAAGCACCTGATTATAGCCACTTCTTTGACATTCCCTAAAAATATCCCCAAGACCTTGGTAGCTTTTAGATTGTAGTATTTACTCAGAGATTTTGAATGCAATCTTGTTTTCTGTCCTCATAGACAGTGGGGTATGTCCATTGACATTTTCTTTTTAAGTGTCTCCAGACATCTCAATAAGTTATAACAACTCCAGGTGGATGAAACTCCAAAAAAAGCTCTCAGGCATATTGAGTTTTCCATTTTTCTCTGTTGGGCCTTGTATATATTGGTAAGGACCATTTTCTCCTATGTATATGGTTGTCAAATGAAGCTGGAAAACAACACAAAGAAAAAAGGATTTAACATATTGTTCCACTGAACTTCACAACAAAATCACAACTCACAATACACAGCATTTTTCTTATTCCCTAGTGTTTAATGTTTGGGTTCATGATCTGGGTCTGTGGTTCTGTAAGTTTTATACTGTACAGACAGATACAACCACATTCACAGGAACAACATTTTTTTAAATTAAAGGAACATACACAAGTTTAAAGTGCACAGCTAAGTGGAATTTTGCAAATAAAATACACCTCTATGCAATACCTAGATCATGAAACACAATATTGGCAGCCCCCTGGAAATGCCCTTGTGACCCCAAGAATATGATTCTGCCTGTGTATGTTTGTAGGAGAGAAATTGTAGGACCATAGGTTTGCATGCATTTTAACATTTAATATATTAGATCACTTTTGCTTCTTTTGTACTTTTTATAAATGAAATTATATAGCAAGAATTCTTTTATGTTTGTATTTTTTTAAATTTCCATGTAATGTTTGTGAATGTGTTATCATTCATTAGCATTGCTATACTATAGGATTCCACTGTGTGAAGAATATCATTTAATTAATTCATTTCAGTGTTAATGGCATATGGGTGGTAAGAAAGCTGGCTATTAGACTAGTGCTGGTATATATTCTGGAAATTTTATTTTGGTGATACATATAGAAATTTGAAGTGTATTTATAAGAGTGGATTGTTCAGTTTAAATAAGTACTACTAAACAGTTTTCCAAAGTGCACCAATTTTAACACCCATCAGTAGTGTATGAAATTCCTGGCATATCCACATCATTGCCAAAACTTGCTATTTCTTGCCACTTTTATTTTGGATTTCTGGTTGGTATACAAAGGTACTAAGTAGTAGTGTTATTTGAATGTTCACGGTTACTAAGGACATTGAACACTTTCCTCATATGTATTATTTATTGAATAATGTTTTTCCTGAAGTTTCTGTTAGAATATTTTTCCTATATCCTATCTTATTATATGATTTGTTAGTGTTCTTTGCACTACATACAACTATGCCTCCCTCTCTCCTTCCCTCCCTTCCTTTCTCCTTCCCTTCCTTCTTTCCTCCCCATCGTCTGACCCCTCCCCACATGTGTATGTATGTATGTCTTTTGATGTGAGCCAGTTCTTAACTTCATATTACCTAATATGTTATTATGTTATTTCACCCATTTGGTTAATGTATTTGCACTGTTTAAGAAACATTTTGAAGTCGGGCTCGGTGGCTCAGCCTGCAATCCCACGCCTTTGGGAGGCTGAGGTGAGTGGATTGCCTGAGCCCACGGGTTCGAGACCCGCCTGGGCAGGCAAGACCTCATCTCTGCACTCCAGTCTGGGCGACAGAGTGAGACTCCAACTCAAAACAAAAACAAACAAAGAAACATTTTATTATTTTAAGGCCACAATTTTTTTTTTTTTTTTGCCGGTGGGTGAGTGAAAATCCTTCTGAGGGGACACTCAGGCAAAAATATTATTTTTATTCTAAAAATTGAATTATTGACCTTTAAAATTTCAGTCAACAACCCATTTAGTACTGAAATATACTGACAATCCTCTCAGTCTCTATTTGCATCTTGATGTCATTGGAAATTCTACAGAATCATACAATGAAAGTTTCTCTTTATGTAAAAATTATATTTTCTTTCATAATTTAGATTTTACTGGTTGTATTGAGGATCAGTATGCAGACATTTCATTCTGTGCACAATTCTTAACATATGCACCACAAATCTAAAAAGTCATGTATCATAGTTATTTTTTAAACTGTTATTCCAGTAACTTCTCAGCTTAAAATCTGGAATCAAACTTGGCCAGACATGGTGGCTCACACCTGTAATCCCAGCACTTTGGGAGGCCAAGGCAAGAGGGCTGCCTGTGCCCAGGGGTTCAAGACCAGCCTGGGCAACATGGCTGAACCTCATTTCTACAATAAACCAAAAATTAGCCAAGCATGGTGGGACATGTCTATAGTCCCAGATATTTGGAAGGCTGAGGTGGAAGGATCACCTGAATCCAGCAGATAAGAGGCTGCAGTAGCCACGATTGTGCCACTGCACTCCAGCCTGGATGACAGAGTAGGGCTCTGACTAAAAA